CAATAGAGTCGGTTACTAAAGAGTTGTGAATCCTTCTTCGTGTGACAGTCTGTTTCATGCCCTGGTTCGGGGATAGTGCTTTCAAGAGTAATATGTACCTCTTTCTTCTGGGGCCTGGGCTCTCTATGCAGAGCAGAAATGTGTATGCTCAAATTCATATAATATAGATGTTGAAAATAGTAGAGAATCAGCAAGGTTTAGGAAGGCTGTCCAACTGAGAGAACTGAAATCCTTCTTCCATGTCTGTTCCATAAATTACTGTTGACTACATGGAGAAGGTCTCTATTTGCTAGACTGTTTCACAGGTGAGTGGATCCAGCAGAAGCACCTCCAAAGTAAAAGACAGGAGGACTGTGCTTTCTGGGTACAAGGGGCAATGGTTTCTTTCTCCTATCAAGAAGACATAGATAAGCCAAGCACACTTCTCTCCTAGACCCATCTCTTCATACCAGAGTCCACACAGGCTATATGTAGGAAAAGGGAGGGGACAGGGACTGTTTCAATAGCAGGACATTAAAGCCTTCAGCTCTTCCAGGAAAGCCAAACGAGAGCTGTAGGGAGATTAGACGGACCAAGCATGTGCTAGCAGAAGACAAGAAACTTGTAGGAGATAAAGTGCTAATTCTTATTCATGCTCACAATGACCCCCAAGTCTCAACTATTCTATACCACAATATGTTCAAGAAATCACTTTCTTGTTCACAGAAATAACTTCAACATTCACTATGCAATCTGGGTCATATGCCTCATTTGGTACAGAATCTCTAATTTTCCAAAATATGAAGTACACTGGCTCTGTTAAGGCTTTTACAATTTTTCAATCAAGGTATCCAAAGTAAAATGCTTTTCAAAGTATGACTAAAGTTAGAAGCTGGAATACATGATTGGTTAAGTTCTATTTTTTCACATATCAAAAACAAAAACAACAAACAAATAACTAAACAAACAAAACCTTCCATATATATTTTTAGCAGCTCATTGAACTGAGTTGGCAAATGAACAGATCAATGTATTTAGGAATGATTGATGACATGATTTTTGGATATCGTATTTTGATAATGTTCTGCAGTATTTCAAACCAACAAAACAGAAACACACACATAGCATGAGGGCTGAATCAAAACTGGTAGTTTCTGCCTTGATTGCTGCATTTGCTGTTTAACCTTTGTCATTAAAATTTTACAAGTGACACATAATGAAGAACTATGCCATCCAATTGTGTTGCCTTCAAAGGCAAGCAGTCCCTCACTATAGTGAATGAAACCATGTTCTGGACAGAAATGTTAGTGACCTCTAGTAAATGAACCACTGACCCATGGACAGATGAGAATCAGCCTGAGTAAATGAGGCAGAAGTTTCCTCAGCATAACTTTGCATGCTAACAGAGCAGTCTTATTATAATTAAACGAGATAGAATGGTCAGGAGGGAACATTTAACAGGAACAAACAAACTGCATTGCCAAACTCCTCTTCTTGTTCATTCTTCGTCCTCATGCTGTACCATATATATAGGTTTTAAAAGTGACATAACCGTTGCACACACATAGACTCATCCAGCAGAGCCAAGCAAAAAGTCATTTAAAGCATGGACATTGTCAATAGCCAATTGATTTAGACTAAAACTCCACCTAAAGCCATACTGTACAATAAAGTACCATTAAAATGAGCACTTGAAATGTGGCCAGTCTTAATTAGGTGTGCTATATAAACACATGTTAGAATTCAACGACTGTACCAAGAAAGATGCAAGATAGTTCAATGATTTTTATATGGATTACATGTATACATAATAGTATTCTGGGTATCCTAGTTAAAAAAAATTATTAAGTGACTTCCCCCCCCTTTTTTTTTCTTATGCTCTAATGTGGCTAGTAGGGCTTACATTATTCCTCTGTTAGCCAATGGTGATCTAAGCAAAAAGTCAAGGCTGTGGCTCAGTGGCATAGCACTTGCCATCATGTGAAAGGTCTTGAGTTTAACACAGTACCCTCTCTCCACAAAAAATCTAGACAAACAAAATTCAGGCATAAATCCGATAAGATTGAAATATAAATCTATAGCAACTGATGGTAACAAGACAACTAATCACAGAGGGATCGCTACCTTGCTAAGTTATTCTTTCCATTCCTCCTTCACAGGAGCGTGTCTCTGAATTCCAATATCTGCTTGGTCATTTTCTAAAGAAACAATGAGGAAGGGGGATGTTCTGGGAATGACTGTGTTCAAATTTTTATTTGGCCTGCAGAAACACGGGCAAGAAGCCCCCCCTCCGCAGCCTCTGGAGGTCACTGGCATTGCTCAAAGAAAGCTTTATGGAGAAGACGGGGTTAAGCCACTTACTGTTTTATAGTAATGGAAGGTCCACTTAACTGCTAAGAAAACTTAACAGAAGTCTCTCTTCTTTTAAGCAAGTTGATGGAACACCATTGACTGGGTACAGATGGCATACTGAATGAGACCATGTGATCCATACACTCCTACTGTGTTGGGAGTGTGGACTTCAGAAGTATCGTGTTTCTAAAGCATGTTGATAGAGGGTTTCGACATTGTTTTGAAATGAGCAGTCCTCTTTGAGAATTTCATTGGGTTTATTTATTGTACAGGTTTCCTAACAGTCCTTCATGTTATATTGAAAGAGGCTTTTTGTTTTGTTCTTGCTTAGGCAGAAAAAATACACTATTTGTATATTTCTCTGGGATTCAACAAAATAAATGAAATTTTGACATATGTATTTCCATGTATTATTTTGTGTGTACTTAATATATATCTTCTACAGTATTGCAAGGTCTATCTTCACCAAACAAACAAACAAACAAACAAACAAACAAACAAACAAAAATGTTAGCTTTTCTTTACCAGACTGGGGAGAAAAGTACAGAGCAGCAAGAAGACCCACTCAATTTGTGAGGAGGCCATGGTATTGCTGGAACCCTGCTCAGCTCTGCTAATCCTCACAGAATGCAGGCAAATGAGCACGTGACTAGAAGAGCTTCCCAGGTAAAGGCAGCAGAAGAGACACAGCCATGACAGTCATGCACGGGACCTCAAGAAGGAACTCTTATAGCTGTGGGTAGTGAAGGTAAGCAGGATGAAGCCTATGACGTCCCTAGAGTGCAGTGAGAGCTAAGAAAGCGTCTTGTTATTGCTTCGAAACACAACCTGTGGCAGAAGTCATGGGTACGTCCTGTTCACTGTGATGAACACAAGGCCCTGTCACTGCTGCCTTTGTCTGAGTTCCTTTGTGAGAAGCTTTGCTCAGGCTTAAGCTATTGGTGACTCACAGCTAAATCATCTCCATCATCTATTCCCCCCCCCCTTTTTTTTTTACTACAGTTGCAAACCACACAGTATTCTGCTTTGTTCTCCCTCCTGCCCCCACCCCCAAGGAAGCTGAGCAGCTCTCCAGCCCAGTTATCTTATTGAACTAAAGCCATTCGTGGAAAGGAGTTGCATCCTCTTCATCCAATCTAGTTTATGATAACATTTTGAAAAGCCGAAGACTAATTCTGCCGGCTTTTCTGGAACCCCATGAAAATCCGTATCACATTGTAACCTATGTGAGTTGGAGGTTGGTGCCAAATGACTGAGATGCTACAAGGAATGTTGCAGAAATATAGCGGGGCTAGAGCTGAAATTTAATTAGACATTGCACATGTTAATAATAAATTCAATTAATTTCACCTTCTACCTATACTAGAGGAGAAAAGAAGCTCAGGCAAAATAATAATTTATCTTAAATGCCTCAATCGGGAGTCCCTTTTCCTAACGAGTGATTTATGCAGTAATTTACTGACTATGTCTTCATAATATTGCTCCAAGCCAGCCCTTTGAAATAATAATAACTTCTGGGTTTGTGTAGCGAGAGATACAATAAATGGCTGCTTATTAATTTTCATTTAATGAGTTGCCCATTCTCATGGTAATTCTTAAAAACTCCTCATCTCAAGATAAAAATGTTATAAATACCATGGAAAACACTTCTGTTTTGCAAAACTCATGACAGAAAAATCTCTCCTACTCATTACCTGATTTGAAGGTCAATCGGTTTTTTTTGTACTCTTGGCATGCATTTCTTTGACAGTTATTTCAGCAAATCATTTTGTTGTTGTTATTGTTTTGTTTGTTTGTTTGTTTTTGCGATCGAAACAGGGTTTCTCTGTGTAGCCTTGGCTGTCCTGGACTCACTTTTGTAAATTTTAGACTCACAGAGATCCACCTGCCTCTGCTTCCCTGAGTGCTGGGATTACAGGCGTGCGCCACAGTGCCTGGTTTCAGCGGATCATTTTTAATTTTTTTGTAGCCAAATAATTCCAAGCTGGCTAACTATGATAAAGGAAGTTGTTAAACATACAGCAAGGGTTTTAGCAGCGTGGGGCAGGGCAAGAGACAACATCATGAGCAGGTGGAAAAGCAAGTAAACTGGTCCTTTCTCAAGGGACAAAAGGCACAAAGATCATCCTTACAGAGTTCCTATTTCCTCAAGTACTCTTCTTATGTAGCAAAGATGCCATAACACCCTACGTTATTAGAAATAAGTAAGAATCTTAAGGGTTATACTTTCATTTTAAAAAGTTCAGAGAGAGAGGTACTGTGTATGAGTACCACAGTATGCATGGAGGTCAGAGGTCAATCTGGGGAGTTGGTTTCCTGTTCCCATCCTGCAGATGCCCAGGGTCAAACATCAGTCATCAGTCTTGACATCACATACCTTAATGCTGAGTCATCTTGTCAGCCCTTTTGAAAGGTTATGCTTTCAAAAAGCTTAACTTTGTAACAACTAATTATATGTGATCATAGTAAATATGGCAAGAATGAAAAATTTATAAGAATAAAAACAAAACATCAAGAGAGAAGAAGCTGCTTAGCATCCTAGGTGTTTCAAACGGTTCACAGCGGCTGGAACAGTCCTGCAAGAGACAGGGCAAGATCCTCTTCCTAAGTCTTTGCAACAGCTGGAAGAGTGTTCAGAAAGCATTAAATAATTCAGATGCAATTGTTACTTACATGAGAACCGGAAAGGCCTTGCTCCTAACCCACATTGCCTTATGCCTTCTCCGTGGAAAAGCCCATACTGCATCTCGCCCATGAACTTGTCCAGCTCCTTCCCCGAGGCATTGACGAGCAGAGCTCCCGTTTTGCAGAGGATAGTGGCTTTAATCCACAATGGTGTCCCCACTGCTGTCACAACTCCGAGAGCACAGAGGAAGCTCAACACACCAGCCATGCAAAAGATGATTTTCTTCTGCTGGCTAGGCATGATGAGGAATGGCTTCGGTGAAGACGCGGTTCACAACCAAGACCTTCGCGGGCATCAAGAAGGGACTGCCCCTTCGGCTGCATTTATTACAGGAGCTCAAGAGCCTAGCTGGAGAGGCAGAGTGTTTCCTTGCACTGGCTCCACCAGGAAGAAGGCCAGTCCATGAAGCGTCATTCCTCACCCACAGTGGGCTTTTCTCCTCTTCTGCTGCTTTTCTTTAAAAAGAAATCTTTGGATTAAGAATTTGTAAAAATAAAACTCTTTTCAAACTGCCTTCAAGATCCCCTCTCATGTCACTAGCTAGGAAAGGTCTAGGGTAACAGATGGAGTCCTCTGTGTAACTTGAGAGACGTCCTTCCCCCAACCCCTCCCAGCCTGTTGTCCGATTGGGTGAGCTGAAACCTTCAGAAACATGCTTTGCTCCTATGGTAAGTTTGCAGCAAACATGAGACGTCCAAGGATTGATGAGATTTTATTTCTGGGTTTTGTTTGCTTTTTAGCAGTGGAAGAATGGTAGCTTTGGCACAGGTAATAGTAATTAATTGATTTTGAAAATGTTTAGTTTTAATTAGATGGAACATGGCACTGTACTGTGTCTGCTGTAGACATGAGGATTCCAGAGCTACACAGGCCTTGTCCTCCTCACCCCAGTTCTCCCAGACCCACATTTTTTATGGGTTCTACTTAGAGAGAACTGGATTCAAATTCTTCTCAACACCCAGAAACTCGGAGATACAGTTACAAATATGTAAATTTATAAATGCTTTCATTTAAAGCATTTTGTCTGTCTCAGTATGATAGCAAGGGAACACAGCTATGGGTTCAAGGAGCAGCAGAATTTATAAAGGTAAGAGCTTTGATGCAGAAACAAGCACTGTGGTCAGAGAGATCTACCACTGAAGAGCAGGTCTCCCAGGGAAAATAACCTTTAGCAAAGTATATTTGGTTTAGGAATTTAGACCTGCAAACTCAAGTGTGGAATTCCTAACTTTGGGTGCCTGTGAGGCTCCTCAGGTCTTTCCTACTACATGTTAAAATTGTGTCTCTGTCTCTGTCTCTCTGTCTGTCTGTCTATCTGAGAGAGAGAGAGAGAGAGAGAGAGAGAGAGAGAGAGAGAGAGATTGTTTACTGAGTATCTGTGTATCTTATGCTGTGCTGGGCTCCAACTTTTAGTACAAGCCTGCCTCTTACTAAGCCTCACTAAGCATTTCATCATGTTATTTAACTCTTACAAGTACTATAGTAAGTGTGAAGCTGCTGCTGCTGTTAATTATGTTCCATTGTACAGATAGAGAAATTGAGGCCAGAGAGACCAAGCAACCTACTGAACTCATTAACAGAGTTCTGTGATTTACAGTCTATTCTGAGCAAAGCACTGACCTTGAAAAGAGGGGGCTGTCATCTGGGATGGGTTGCACGGAATAGGGCAGGGGTGTCTATTGCTGTTTGTACAGCTTAGGTCTCTGGAGAACACAGATATCTGTCAACAGAACAGCCTGCTTGACCCAGGCTACATGCCTGTGCTAATTTCAAGTCTCTTGACCCACCTGTAAGATGATAGCTTTAAGGAAACCCACTAGTTTCACTGTGAGTAAAAAAGTATGAGTCTCTGCAATATGAATTGTTCGAAAGGAACTTTGAGGTTCTGACCTTGAGGAAGAAGTGGGCTATACTCTCTCAGAAGTTGCCAGCCCCTGACTGTTGAGGAGAGACAACTAAATGTGGCTGTTTGGTTAAAGTGAACCAACACTCCTTCATAGCGGAGGGGACAGCATCCAGCATAGCCACAGCAGAATTAGCATTTCAAATCCACACAGGCACTCACAGTAAGGTTTTAAAATATAAATAAGTTCTTTTATTGTATGCAATTTAACATAGAGAAAGCCCCTCTCAGATAATTGGGCCCTCCTGTGAATGCTCTACTGGATTCAGCGTGTCAGCCATCACAGCAAAGCAAAGGGAGCCCTAGGTAGTCAGCGCTTAGCTAGACATATGTGTTCCGCTCGTCCCATTAGTTTGAGGGTATCCAGATATAACCCAACTTATTCAAACGACATATCTGATAACTGGGGGAGAAAAAACATCTTTAAAGTCTGGGAGAAAAAAATTTCAGCTTAATCAATTTTACTAACACCTCCTTAGAAAGAATGTGGCAAGAGAGGGGTAGTTGGCATAGGACAGAGCTTTAATTTGCTAAATACCTGTCAAAAATGTCTAAAGTCTACCAACATCAAAGACTCTGACCAAGGACTGAGAAAGCAATTTGACTGATTAACCTTTTAGATTTAGGTTTGTCTCAGTATACAGCGAGGAGACCCCCAAGTGGAGAGACACAGGAAAATAAGTACAGCATAGTGAGTTAATTCCTCATCCCAAAACCATGCCCTTCCTGCTACAAGTTTGCGCTCTTTAATAAAACAATGGTAATAAAAATTTTGCCTTCACTTAACAAATGTAGACACTTATCTAAAGTCACACCCTTTGTTCTAATCAAGAGTGCTCAGTTTGTCTGCTCACTGGAATCGCTTGCAGACATTTTTAAAATACTGGCGTCTGCATCTCAGCTAAGGCTCAGACATGCTTGATTTTAGCTTGGCCTTAACACTAAATCACCCAATGACTGCAATGTGCAACCAAGGTTGAATGCTCCTGCCCTCATTCACACACCACATGACTCTCCTCTAATTATTAGCCAGGCTTCTCAGTACTGGAGAACACACAGCCAGAAGACTTTCCTTATGCTGGTTGCTAGGGAGGAATATTCTTGTGGCAAATTAATAAACAGGTGCTGAGATCCGTAGCTCCAGTCTTCCCGAATTCCTTTAGCACCATGTGCATGGGCTTCTCTAACTGTCCCCATGAGTAGAATGAGATGGGGGCTATCCCTTGTTACTATCTGCATATCAGTAGTGATGGATCCTGGTCATGGCAGGCAGCTCCCCTTGGGGCCCACACCCACCTCTCCTCTTCCCCATGCAACTTCCTTTCAAACTTTAATGTCAGCCACCCACAGACTGCATAGTAGTGTGTGATCCGCCCTCTGAGGATGATATAATGGAACCTGGCAGTCATTATGCTGACAGCCTGCTTTGAAATTTCATCTTAAATGGCTTGAGTGACAGCGATGACACCGTTTTCCTTACTGTCTCTCTGAGAATTTGAGTCATTAATGTCAGCAAGTTTTCAACAAGAATCCTACTGAAACCTTCACTTCTTTTCATTTTAACGTTTGGTGACATTAAGAAAATGGAACCAGGCCTAGCCCTCTCCCCCGTGACCCCTTTCAGGTGCTGGATAATGATATAATTTTTCAAAGTGACTAGAAAACTAGAGAGGAAGGAACACAATTGTAGGCCATTTTTGCTTCCAATACAAGCATCCACATCTCTTACTAATTCAGCTGTATTGTTTATTATTATTATTATTATTATTATTATTATTATTATTATTAGAAAGGCAAAGAAAGAGAGAGAGAGAGAAAAAGAAAGAAGGGAATTCTCACCATGTTTGCTCTCTACCCCTCAGCCCAACCCAGGGTATCAGGGTAGCGCTGGATTGCAGTACAAAGACTTTGATTTCCTCGCTAAATGGAGATTTTTTTTTAAACATTCATTTTGTAGGACACTACCTAGGTTCTCTGCATGACTGCTGTTCCAATTATTAATTTTTTAATTAATGTAAAGTTCTGCATTTTATCTGATTTTTCAGGTAGTATTGATTTCTATTTTCTTCCACATGGCTCACAGGGGTCCAGGACCTCTGTAAGAGAAATTCAACAAGGGTCTGAGACGCTTGCTATTCTAATATAAGAAGCCTTTGTAAATCTACCCTTTTTTAATTTTTAAAGGAAACTCTGGCAAGTTTGATTGACATTTCTTGACTAATTCAAGTTGCTGGTGATCTTCAAGTCGCATTGTAATTCTCTAATGACTGTAAGGGAGGAAAACACTTCATAGGAAGAACTGATTGATTTATTAGGGGGAAAATTACCACATGTGCTAGACCTTGATTGCAGCTAATATTTGTAGAGCTAATTGCCTGAACGAGAGGATTAAAAGGATTGAGGGAAGGAAAGAAGAAGAAATCTAAGTTCTTTTGGAATACTGATGAATCCACAGTGGATTCAGGCCAGGCAGGAAAGGCACAGTAGAGGTTTTCAAGGCAGCTGGTGTGGAGCATTTAGGGAAAGAAGAACCTGACATAACGGACCTGCTACAGAGAAGTAGCAGGGATACAGAGGGAAAGGGCCACCCTGTGTTCTGCCAAGTAAGATCCCATGGCACCATTGTACTTGTCTTAGTTTCTTGTTGGTATGTCATACTAAGGCTATGCTGTCATTTAAAACCACAACCCAAGATTGGATATGTAGCTCAGTATGAGTGCACCTGTTTAGAGTGTTCAACGCCCTGGGTTCGATCCTAAACCCTGCAAACAAACAAAACAGTGACAACAAATGACCTTCTTTAACTCAGCAGGACAGGGAAAATGTCTGACTGAGTTATTACATCAAGGCAGAAACAGTTACTTAATCTAAAGAACAACTGTGGTTTGAGGTGCTTCTGTCAACAATAATACACCAGCTTTTTAGTACAAGGAAGTAGGTTAATAATAGTCTGCCTTAGTTAGCATTACTATTGCTGTGAAAAGACACCATGACCAAGGTAACTTTCATAAGAGAATGAATTTAGTTGGGCTTGGCTTGCAGTTTCAGAAGTTTAGTTCATTATCATCATGATGGGGAGCATGGCAGTGTGAGGGCAGACATGGTCCTGGAGAAGTAGCTGAGAGTTCTATATCCAGATCTGCTGGCAGAAGGAAGAGAAATCCACTGGGCCTGCCTTGGGCTTTTGAAATCTCAAAGTCCACCCTCCACCCCCAGCAACATACTTCCTATAAAAAGGCCACACCTCCTAATTCTTCTCAAGCAGTGCCACTCTCTCATGACTGAGCAGTCAAATATATGAGCCTACCACCATACTACCTGTATGATAAAACCTGGG